TGGAGCCAACCGGCCCATCCCGGGAGCGCTACAAGGATGGGGTGGTGACCATCGGCTGCGTGGGTAAGGACACGGCGGGCAGTGGAGGGGGAGACAGTGCATGGGAGAGGAGTGCCGTCCGCGCTCTGCTGCGTGTGACCCTGAGCCAGCCCTGCCGTCACCATGGCTAGCTGCGCTGGTGTCTTAAGTTCCGGACGGCGTGGCGTTCCCAGTCCAGAAAGTGGTTGTGAGCTGTGGGGGAGCAGCATGGAGACGGCAGTGATGGCTCTGAGGCTAAGTGGCAGCATTTGTGTGGCCCTTACCGTGCGCCAGGCAGTTCTCTGCTGTCCTAAGAGATTGCAAACCTCAACGTCTCAGTTTCGGGTTAGTCTTGGGCGCAGGGATCATTAAATCAGAGCAGGGTTGAAGCAAGCTTAACTTCCTGAGTCGTTTGTTTTGTTCGGAGACAGGTCTTTGCTCTCTAATTCAAGCTGGTCTTGAACTCACTATACCCAGGCTGACCTTGAGGTCCTGGCAGTCCTCCTGCCTTAGCTTCCCAATGGCTGGGATTACAGGCACGTGCCACCATTCCTGGGTGGTTTTGAATTCACAGTGTAGTCCTGACTGAACTCAGCCTTGAACTAATCCTCCTGCCTCAGCCTCCCAAGTTCCGGGATTGCAGACACGTACGACTTTAGCCAGCTAAGACTGAATTCCTGCAGAAAACAGGATGCACAGTGAGGTTCCAGGGCCCCTTTTCAGTTTGGTGTGCGAGGTGAGAAAGATCCTCAGCAGAGATGTGCTCTCAGGTGCTGTGGAACTGAAGAGGGCCCTGCCCTGAGGAAACCTGGGCATTGCCCAGGGGAGCTGGCTCCTTGCAGTGGCCCTGTTTTCTTTCATTGGCCCCTGTGTGTGAAACCTGCTTGGCTGCTGAGTGCCTGATCCTCTCTGCTGCCTCAGCTTGGCCTTTCCCTGGCTCACGGTCGGCCCTGGCGCTCCATCAGAGAGGCCTCCACCCTGGCTTCATTGCCAGGTCTGAGGAGGTCACTGTGCCTGGGCGGCTGGCTGGGTTTCCCTCTGCACTTGTTCTCCGTGCAGTCAGCAGGTTTCCTGAGTGCCAGCCAGGTGCCAGGCGCTGGGAAGAGACCGTGGGCTCTGTGCAGTGTGAGCAGACCCTGTTCCTGTGGGTAAATAGGTCTGAGGTCTGAGTCGCGTCACGACGCGTGGGCCATGCAGACTCGGGGGGCCTGGGCCCAGGGAGACCTCCAGGGCTGAGAGTATGGTGCAGGGAGGGCATGAGCAGAGCCCAGGAAGGCCCAGGGGCCACAGTGTGCAGCTCTGTGACCACGGCGGGCATCTGGGATTTTACTCTGGGTCTCGCGGAGGCCAGTGGTGAGTTTTGGTGTCCCCTTTTCGGAGGTTTGTTCTGCTTCCTGGGTACGGGGCCAGTGGTGGGAGGTGGATGAGTAAGGAAGCAGTTGGGGGCTACTTGGAGTGGGGGTCGGGGTATGTTTGGGAGGCGGAGGGGACGGACGGGGTTGCTGTGGCCTGCGTGTGCCATGAGAGCGAGGTGAGGGCCGCAGTGTGGACTGCCCTGAGCAGCTGACATTCCACCACGGAGAGGAGCGGGCGCGCGGGAGCAAGAAAGTAGGGATTGGTCTTCAGCGCCGCCAGTGGGGGTGGCGGCTCGCGTTAGGGGACCCTGGACGGATCTGGTTGGTGCTTGAAACCCCAACACTGGTGCGAAGTAGGTGGAGAAGAGGCCAGTGAGTGCATCAACCAGGTAGACTTGGGCAGAGGAGGAGGAGCCAGCAAGTGTGTGGAAGTGAAGTGAAGAGTCTTCAGAGGAGAGGCGGATGGGGCGTCACACCCCGCGGCGGGGGGACGAGTGTGGGGCGGGCGGCCCAGACACCGTGTCGCACACCGCCAAGGCTGCAGAGCTAAGTGAGCTGATTGCTCCTCCTCCGCTGTGGAGGGGACGCATCCTGCTTGGGGCCTGCACCCTGGCGTCTGCGCCTCTGTGTGGCAATCACGAGGATGGTGTGAAAACGGGGTGGGTGCCACCTGTGCAGGTGCTGGACTTGGCTGGATGGTGCTTGCGGTGGCCGTGCAGCGGGCCGAGTACGCCGGTCTGGGGATGTGGGTCCCTCCGCCAGGCCTCTGCTGCGCTGCCAGCGCCTGCCTGTAGTGTTCTTTCCCTCGTGTCTGGGACCACTTCATTCCGGCAGAAGGGTCTGTGTCTCCTGTAAGACGGGGCTCCGGCTCGGAAGTGGTTGAATCACCGCTGGTTGCGGAGTTGTAAGTGGTGAGGCGGAACTCGGTTGGCAGTGTTCAGCGGCTCCTCTCTCCTGAGCCTCAGGTCCCCTTTCACCTCCAGCTGCTGCCCCAGATCCTGCTGGTGCGGCGCTGGGCCGGTGCTCACGCCCTGCCTTCCGCAGGGTTCCCCAACGTGGGCAAGTCCTCACTCATCAACGGGCTGGTGGGCCGGAAGGTCGTGAGTGTCTCCAGGACCCCGGGCCACACCCGCTACTTTCAGACCTACTTCCTCACCCCCACGGTGAAGCTCTGTGACTGCCCGGGCCTCACCTTCCCCTCGCTGCTGCCCAGACAGCTGCAGGTGGGGTGCAGACAGGTGGGAGGCGGGAGGAAGGGGCAGGAGGCCGAGGTGCTGAGCCGCGTCCCCGCAGGTCCTGGCCGGGATCTACCCTGTCTCACAGATGCAGGAGCCCTACACATCTGTGGGCTACCTGGCCTCGCGGATCCCTGTGCAGACCCTGCTGCGCCTGCGCCACCCGGAGGCTGAGGACCCGTCCTCTGAGCACCCCTGGTGTGCCTGGGACATCTGTGAAGGTGTGGCCTGTGGGCTCTCTGGCCCTGCCCCTCTCCCTCCGCCTGCTTTGCTCTCCCTGCTGGGACAGAGTCGGGTGGGTGATGGCTGAGGCGCCCTCCTGGCTCCTTCTCCCTCCAGCCTGGGCCGAGAAGCGTGGCTACAAGACTGCCAGGACAGCGCGCAACGACGTGTACCGAGCGGCCAACAGCCTGCTGTGGCTGGCAGTGGACGGCCGCCTCAGCCTGTGTTTCCACCCCCCGGGCTACAGTGAGCAGAAAGGTGTGCAGCCTGCTGCGTGCATGTGCGTGTGCGTGTGCGTGTGCGTGGACAGTGCCCGCGGGCCTCCTCCGCGAGCTCCCGAGGGAGTGATACACGGCTGCCTGCCCTCATTCCGGCCCTGGCTCACCCCCGCCCTCCTCTCTCCGGCTCTCCATTCCAGGCACCTGGGAGTCTCATCCTGAGACGGCAGAGCTGGTGGTTTTGCAGGGCAGGGTGGGGCCCGCCGGTGAGGAGGAGGAGGAGGAGGAGGAGGAAGAGCTGAGCAGCTCCTGTGAGGAGGAGGGAGAGGAGGACAGGGATGCGGACGAGGAGGGAGAGGGCGATGAAGACACCCCGACCTCGGCCCCAGGCTGTGGCCTGGCTGCCCGCAACCCCTACGCCCTGCTGGGTGAGGACCAGTGCTGAGCGCCCCTCGCGTCGCAGCGCCTTGCCCGGAAGAGATGTCCCCTCTGCTTCTGTTCGTGTGCACTCTCCGGAGGGAAGTCCTCCACGGCTCCTCCGCCCCTCTTCTCGGCACCTTAGGAAGCAGGAAGGCGGGAGGCGCCGCGCCCCGCCGCCAGGCCCGGTCGTACAGGAGGGAGGCAAGCCGTGCATGGCTGACCCCTGGGGTGAGGGTCTTCCAGGAGTTCTTCACACCGGCGAGCGCGCTCCGAGTCTGGGAGCATCCGGACCTGTGCTGAGGGCTGAGTGTGTGAAGATGCGGCCCGGTGTGGTCGGGACTCCCACCAGGCACCCGGGCTGTGGGTTAAGGAAGCCGTGTAACGTTCTCCAAATCCTGGGAGCTCACAAAGTATAATTCTAGGACTTCCTGTTGATAAAAGTTTTTAGTTGCAGACAGTACTTGTGCAAGTATTGATTAATTGTGTGAGGAGAGAATCACTAGCAGACAGCGCACACCCATGCATACGCAGAACCTCCGGCCTGTGCGCTGCCCCTGGAGTCCTGCACGCTCCCTTGCTGTGAGTGGCTCTCTTCACTGACTGCCCGGGAGTGCCCTTGGGTGCTCACAGTGGGGTGCACGGGATGGCCAGCCGGCCCTTCCCTGGAAGCCGTTCAGGTCGGGTCACAGGGCAGGGGAAGCGCGAGGCTGTGGCGTCGGGGTCCCTGCGCGGACTGACCGTGTTCTGGAAGGCCGCCAACGTGTGCTGCGGCTGCCCCGGCAGGCTGCCTCCCAGCTCGCTTTCCTTCGAGGTCTGATGTTCGGATCTGCCTGGGGCCGCTCTCGGGGGTTCCCTCGCCCTCTGTTAGCGAATGAGTTTCATCGGGGCCCCTGGGACATGCCAGGGCCAGGGGCTGGAGGAAGGGTGTTTCAGTGACTCTGTAGGAAGAGGCCGTCTGGACTGGGAGGCCGAAAGCAGCCAGGAAGCACCTGGCCTCCCTTCCCGTGGGCCACGTCCATGGGCGGGGGAGCTGGGGAGAAGCCATGGCTTCTGGTGTGTGTGAAACAACGCTCACGTCAGCTTCCTCTCGAGCTTGCTTTTCTTGATTGGGTTATGTCTTGGTTCTAGAACAAGTCGCTGTGTGTTCTGGGACACTGCTAGTATCTGGACCTGTCGCTTCCTTATTTCTTTTTCCCTCAACACAGGATTAAACACAGGGCCTTTGCATTGAACTAGGTCTCCAGGACTCCAGGGTCTCCAAGGTTCCCCAGGCTGATCTCAAACTTGGCAGTCCTCCTGCTTCAGCCTCCCTAAGTGCTGAGATTGCAGATGTGCCCACCCAGCAGGGGCTCCCTTTCTTAGGAATCTTTGATACAGTCCACCGAAATTGACTGAAAACAGTACGCCCAGAAATGCCGACTACTGGCAGGAAACAGCACAGACCTTTCCCTGCAGGAGTCGGCGGCCGGCCGACACCCAGGTCGGTGTGACTGACGTGAGGTACTGACTGACAGCCCCCTGCAGGTCTGACCTGCTCAGCGAGCGGAGCCAGAGCCCTAAGGAAGTTAAAACAAGCAGCGCAAGAGCAGCCACTCGCAGTGGGGCGGTGGGATGGGCCTCAGGACCAGTTTGCAGCAAGTCGGAGATGGAAGGGAACCTGGGGAGCCCGGAGTCGGTTGCTGGGCCCAGCCAGGCAAGGAGGGCAGAGTGGGGAGCCTGGCTCTTGGAGGACCGCACCAGCGCGGCGAGGGGCCCAGAAATGAGCCCTGAGACTTAGGAGTTAGTTGTGCCTTAGAGCATTCTGGATGCAGTGTAGAAACCAGTTTAGGATCGCTGAAGTGGACTGCAAGGGAGTAGGTTTTTTTGTTGTTGCTACTGGGGCCGAAATCAGGCCCTTGCGCTTGTGAGACAGGTGGCAAAACCACTGAGCTAAATCCCCAACCCAGTTTTGTTTTTGTTTTGTGGTGCTGGGGACTGAATCCAGGAGTTGCACACTGGAGTACGTCCTCAGTGTCCCCACCCTCTTTCTTTTGTAGTTTTAATTTTGAGACGGGGTCTCACAAAATTACCAAATAGTCCAGGTTGGGCTTGCTCTTGTGGTCCTCCTGCCTCAGCCTCCTAGAGTGCTAAATTCAGAGGCCTGTGCTGCCAGCCCTGCGAAGGCAGTCTTCCAGGCTGCCTCAGAGGTGGCGTGAGCGGTTCGGGCCCATCTTGCTGTGTGGGGAGGGAGGCAGCGAGTGGAGCACACAACGCGTTTCCAGCCGGCATCTGGGCGCGGGCCGGGAGGGCTGTGGCGGGGAGCAGCAGTCGCTGGTGGACACAGCGCAGCGCTGGGAGGGGAGCGGCTGCGCAGGAGCGTGGGGAGCACTGGGAGAGGACGCTGCTGCTGCGTGGACGTGGACGGAGGGTGGAGAGGCCGGTGCCG